TTTTAATCTACAGTACAGAACAATGTACTGGCTGGGATAGGACATAGGTCAGGCTCACCGTTTTCCCAGCAGCTTTACTTAAAAGAGTGTTTCGGTATTTGCTCTACCATTGCATTTTGTAAATTAAATGAAACAAGAGACTTAAAACACTGTCAACATGATAGATATTCTAGCTGCTAGGTCCAGGCAATTATTTGGCATGTGAACTTTCAGAAGGCCTATCTGTGAGCACCAGCAGTATCTGAGCATCATCGAGAGATTTTTCGCTCCGATATTCTTTCGCTCCTAATATTTCTTTTGATCCAGTATTTAGTCTCATGGCATTTTTTTTTTTTTTTTTGGGTATGTGCCTTTTATTTCTCTCTTTATTTTTACTTTTTTTTGAGGGGAGCAAGGAGGGGGAGTTTATAACAAAACTGGCAGCAATAGGCCACGTAGGGAAGTATGCGGTGACAATAATTCCATCCTTGGGCCATGGCATCCTGCCTGCAGGAAGTGCAGATTGACACAGGGACCCTTTTACTGAATCACTGTTTGTTTTTGCCTTTGTTTTTTTGGCTTCATTTTGTTTACAGTTGCTGAGCCAAGATTTGGTGCGCTCTGGAGCTTGAAAAATAAAAGCACAAGCGACTCGGCTTCTCCTGGGCTTCAGCAGAAAAATAGAGTGTGTGACTGTGTATGTGTGTACATATACATTTACATATATATACATATATAAAATATATATTTACATGTATAAAATGTATGCATATGTAAGTACACACAATGCACAAACCCTTGCAGTCTTGACTGCAAGTCCTGGGTTTGCTCAGAGGGCTCTCCCATGGAGGTCGCCCTCCAGGGTGCTTGGGGTGCAGCTGTCCTCTCCCAAGCGTGCTCAGCAGAGGCTCCGGATGCATCTTTCCATCCATGCCATGCACTGAGGTCTCCAGAGGACGTCCTCCAGCGAAGGTCCACGGAATGAGACCCAGCTCGTTGCAGGTTCTGGCAAACCTCTCTCAGATGGGAAGAGACCAGCACATGAAACCCCTGTGTTCAGGGAGGGTTCCTTTGAGCGTGGGGAAAGCTGCCGTGGAGCCAGACCGGGATTGGGATCCCGGGGCGGGGGAGGAGGCCTCGGCTCCGCTTCCCTGGAGCTCCGGGAACCCTCCTGCTCCTGGGATGCAGCCGTGCGGCAGATGGCCGCGCTGCCGGGCTCAGTTCTCGGGAGGGTCTCTAATTTCTCTGACGCTGATCACTCCTCTGGACGCTGATACCCACGTTGGGGAGGAGCCCCTCCTTCGGCTCGTTCCCGTCGTCTTTATGCCCTGTGTCTGTTGCAGCTGCCACCAAAGATCCGGCGCAAGCTGAGCTGCAGCGTCGCTCGTGCTCTTGGGGCTCGGCTGCCCTCGTTTCTCCCCCTTGACGTGGGTGTGCTAGATCCCATCCTCCCCCCCCTAAAAAGGTTTCTTTTTAGCCAGGGACAGGCCCACAGTGTATGCTTAAGGAGATTTTAATGGCACGGAGGCTAGTGAAGTAGGGATGGAGAGAGAAGCTGTCTGTGGGAAAGGGGAAGCTATAGTCCATGCTCCCAAATTCTCCTTTTTCATTGTTACAAGGAGCCCCAAATTTGCTTCTGGGAACAGTTGAGAAAACTTGGAACTCCTTAATTTCTCCTCTGGAGCTAGCAATCTAATTCCACGTGAAAAAGCTATTCTGGAGAAACCTAACCCTTCCATCTCAGAAGTTAAACATCTGTGGCCCTTGCTAATAGTGGTACAGGATGGCAGGACAAAGGATTTTGCTTGGGATGCAGACTCAGAAACAGAATGTACGAGTCCATACCAATTTTATTCTGTGAACGGGGCCGCCTGTTTGAGAAGCCTTTTGCAAATGAAAGTTTAATAGAGGCAGGGCAAGAGAGACTAAGCATAGGTGAGGCAGACAGGTTGAAGACTGGAACTCCATATTTGTCTGGAAAATGAGACCAGCCCTCTTGAAGACGGAAAATATAAATTGGCTGGGGCTGAGAGTGATTGGGAATGCCTTGAGACATCTGGTTCCCATCTCTGGTTCTCATTTCTATCTTTATTCAAAGCGACAAATGCACAGTAGCTGTCTTTGAAAATTGATGGGGTAGAAACTCAAAGTACTTTGGAGAACAGAGCTTCTAATGTATTGGGCACTGAGCTGGACGGTGGAAATTTTTAGTGTAAGCCACTTAGGTGGAAGTCAGACTTGAACCAAATTGGTTAAGTCAACAGAGATGGGCCCCAAAGGGAATGTGTGTTGTATTGGCAAAGATTTCAGGTGATCTCCTGGAACAGATGGGCTTCCTGGATCAGTTTTTTTTTTTTTTTTTTTTTTTTTTTTGGAGTGCTACTAAAATGAAAGATAAAGTGAACTCGTACAAGTGGTAGGAGGGTCTATCTGATGCATGCCTTTCCCCTTTATTTGTAGGTTTTGGTTTTTAGCAGGAATAATAGGAGTAGACAAAGCCATGTAATTTCTATTGCCTCATCCTAGTATCCTGTGTTACCATTGGTTTCCAAAGAACTAGGAAAATCAACTATTTGGTCAATTCTGCTGGCAATGGCCAGAGCCTGTATATCAGATCTGATCTGGCAATCTTCTGCCTTAGTTCTGACGGAGTTTCAAGACGTTGGACTTGAGCTCCTGGAATTTGGATGCTCTCCATCCCCTTCCATGATGAAAGAAGCGTCTAATGATCAAGGCAGGCATTGGCCTGCTTTCAGGAAAGAAGACTCATGTCATTATTTCTATTCTAAAAGCTTTAGTCATTTTTTTTTCTTCCTAATTGGTGACTTTAGGAAATTCCTGATATTTAAGTTGTGTGTGATCAAATAGCATTTCTAAAAATAGAGTTTATAAAATGAATCTAATTCTGTGCTTTTTGCCAAGTTGGAATCCTTGCTGAAAGTTAGATTGGGTCTTGAGGTGTATGATGTGGGAACGTGCAATAAGAAACATAAGGTAGGTTGTCTCTGCATTCAGTACTTCATAAAGAGAAAGGATGTTTTTGTAGTTTTTACCTTAAAAATTTTACTTGAGGCAACACAAATCATTTCCTAAAACTGTCCTTTCTTGTGTTGACTGAACATTTTGGATATAAAGGGGCAGTTTCAAGTTTCATGTATTTAATTGCTAGTATCAGCACGGCAAAACATGGACCCTTGGAAATGCCTGATGTTTTGCTTGTGCCGTGTGGGAAAGAACGAAGCTTGGAGGCTGCAGAAACCACCAGATCCATATGCATTCAGGCAGCTGTTGAATGCCACGGGGAGACTGATAAAACTCATGGAGTGCAAGGAGTTAGCTCGTGGAGGTCAGCTTTCATTGACACGCAGGAAGAAAGGGGCTCAGAGAGAGCTATCTTCAGGGTGGCAGCATCAGCTCCCCTCCACTTGGGAAGGAAGAGAAATGCTGCCAGGTGGATAAGGCTTGAGGAAATCACGTGTCATCTGCATCTCAATTCTCCCCATCACTATCCAGCGTTCAGCAAATGTCTGAAGGCCCCTGTCTAATAACTAACTTCTTGTTGACTCGTAAAAAATCGTCCTCCAGTTAGATCACGTTTCTCTGCCTCGTCATTAAAAAAAATAATAGCTTCTGTAGTAGTTAGCAATTTCTGGGGCACATGCAATTCTGCAGTGCTGGCAAAGTTCCATTAATCATACCGAGGAATCCGTCTGTGCCAAAAACCCATCAAGTGGAGCTGCCTGTTGGCGGGCTGGTGGGAATGTGCACCCAGGGGTGTTCCTCGAGGCATATGGGCCTCCTGCGTGCGTAAGCGTGGCTGGCTCGTGAGGAGAGCAGGGCTGCCCCTCTTCTGTGCTCTGGACTTCATTCCAGCAGGTTGAGAGAGATGGGAAGTCTCAAGAGCCTAAGCGATAAGGACTGTTCTCTAGGAAGTTCTGTTTTTAGGGATACATGGTCTCACCATCCCTTCTTCATTCCATTCCTTTTTTTTTTTTTTTTTTTTCTTTTTTGATAGTCAGAATAAGCTCTCCCTAAAATACAGCTACAGGTTCTTCTAAGCTTCAGCCTCATCAGCAGTCTAAGAGGTGTCAGATGGAACCATTTACAATGCTCATCAATACAAGTGAGGTTAAGAAATGTGTTTCCTTGAGTTGGGTGGTGAACTCTTGGCAAAGAAAGGGGTACTTAGGGCAGTCCAGCAAGCAAGTGGTAAGTAAATGTTTAGCAGTAGTATTTAAGAGGCACTTAAGTATCCAGCCTGAGCTTCTGGGAGTCAGGGGAGGAGAGCGTGTCCTGGGCTGAGCTCTAATTATTAGGCTCTAGTGTTAGGAATGAGCCTTGCTGTGCAGCCGAGCCCAAGCGTCTGGCGTGGATGTGAATGTCCTGCCAGAGACACCGGTGGTGGAGTGGGAGAAAAGTGAGAGCAGCTTTGAGCGTGAGGGGAGGAGGACAGGGGCAGTGAGAGGAGTGCAGAGGCAAGGACACAGCAGGGAGGATCGGCTACAGAACATTTCAGGGCTCCTGGCCCGGGGCATGGAAAACTTCCTAAGAGGTGGAGGAAAGAACAGAGCTTAACAGTGGCAGAGGTAGGAAGCAAATGGGAAGCTGAGGAAGGTAAGAGTCGGTTGAAATGGAAAGAGGCAGGTGGGATCAGACTATCTGCTGCATTGTATTATAAAAGGCTTGTGCCTGTGGTGACGCAAGCTGCTGCCCACTGGAATAAAAAGGGAATGGAGTGGGATGACATCCTGTTTAGCCTGTTCTTGCAGCTTGGAAGAAAATAACAGTAGTGCAGAGTCCTGTAAGCTACATGTGTGTAACGTGAAATCCCAGCGTTGCAAGCAGAGCACGATGTTGGCAGCAGAGCTTGGAAACTTAATCTCCAGTCTCTGTCCCAGGGCATAGCTGTCCTGCGATCTCTGTGTCCCAGTGTTTGTCTAGGCTGTCCTTGTTGTGTTAGGTTGTTTCTGGGATGGTAAAACTATAGTGAGCCTGGGGGCGGGGATTTGTTCTCTTGCTAGATCCCAGACGTTTCACAGCTACCTGGAGGACATCATCAACTACCGCTGGGAGCTGGAAGAGGGGAAACCCAACCCGCTGCGGGAATGCACATTCCAGGAGCTGCCCCTGCGCACCCGCGTCGAGATCCTGCACCGCCTCTGCGACTACCGCCTCGATGCCGACGATGTCTTCGACCTCCTCAAGGTGCTTTGGGCAGCCGGAATGGGCAGGGAGGAGGTGGTGCAGTTGCAGGAGCTCAGGTGGATTCAGAAATCTTCCTGGGGAGGGCAGAGGGACATCCCATCTCCCTCACGGGGCTGTGGTGGGACACACATGGGGGGGCACATGCTGGGCATGAGGCCAGGGCATGGTGAGGTTGAGGTCACAGGTCAGAGGTACTTCCCCAATGCTAATATCTTTGGTGGCCCTTTTCTGGCTTTTGCTCCCTGTCCCTTCCTGATGTGCTGGTGACCAGGGCTCACCATACTCTTCCTGTTAACTCAAGGAGTTGTGGGTTGCTCATGGGTTTTAAGCTGTGCTTTTGATAAGCCAGGCCACTTCCCTGCATTGTGAGTTCCACCCAGAGAAGCATGTTTTAACACCAGGTACTTGGTGGCATTGCAGGGCGTTGACAGTGTGTCCTCTCTTTCCCTGCTCCCTCACCTGCAGGAGACCCGGGGCAAGTGCATGGGACTTGTCTTGGGGGCACTGGGCTCCTACAGATGTGTTTCTGACACAAAAGTCACTAAGTAAATTGGTTTTATTGGCCGCCCTTCCTTGAGCAGGCTGAATTTGGAGGTGCCACTGGCAGTGCTGTAGGAGCAGAGACTGTGCTGCCCTGGGATGGTGTGAGATGAAAGGACGGGGCTGAGATGTACTGGGAGAGCTGGGGGAAAGGGGTAGCAGCGGGGAGGGAGTTTCCAGGGCGCTTCCCAAGGCTGTGCCTGGCTGTCGCCAGCACTAATTAGACCTTCCCTGTCAGGAGCCCCAAAGATGAAATGTTAAAACGAGCGAGGCCGTTCAAATTAGAGATGCCTATCTAAATCCCTCCCCGGGCAGAGCACGAACGGCGCCTTTCCCCCTGGAGCCGCGTTTTCCCAGAACGGCCTGGAAGAGCAGCTGTGCTGCTGTTAGGCCACGGCGGGAGAGAGGGAGGGAGGGAGCTGTGTGTGGAGGGGTGTCCTCCTGTTTTGTGTGACAATGTGGCTGCTTTTCGACTCGTCGCCGCAGGGCTTGGACGCCGACAGCCTCCGCGTGGAGCCGCTGGGCGAGGACAGCAGCGGGGCGCTCTACTGGTACTTCTACGGCACGCGCATGTACAAGGAGGACCCGGTGCAGCCGACACCCAACGGAGAGCTGGCTCCGGACAGGTAGCAGCCCCTCGTGGCCCTGCGCTTCCCCCGTGCCTGGGTGCGTGGGGACACGGGGGCCGTGTGGCGCCAGCCCCGCGGGAAGGGGCTCTCCGCCTGGCTGCTGCTGTCGCGCGGGGCAGCGAAGGGGGGAGCCTGGGAGAGGCGGCGGCGGGAGCTGCCAGGCGGGCTGCCGGCCGCCCCGCGCGGCGCATTGTGTCGGAGCCGCTCAGCAGCCTTTGTGGCACCACGAGAACCTGCTGGGGACAGGGGGCTGCCTGCCCCGCCGCATTCCTCGCTGTCTGCCCCGCACCGTGCCGGCGGCGCTCGCACCGGGCTCCCAGCGAGCGGGAATGCTGCTTCTCCTGCGCTTCCTCCCGCTCCATCCTGTTGCTGCTCTGGTTTAATCCCGCCTTCGGTCTAGTTCCTAGCAGCTGTTTCAATGTCCCTACCCTTCTCTCTTCCTGCTGGCCACAGTCCCCTTTGCTCAGCAAATATTTCATGGTGGTTTTGTTGTGTTGCAGGGGCGGTGGGGGGCAGACAAACACCCCGAACGTTCCTGGGAAAACAGGCAAGAGACGAGGGCGACCCCCAAAGCGGAAAAAACTGCTGGAAGAAAATCTGCTGAGGTATGGAAAGCTTGTTCCTGCAATAGCTGTAGAATGCACGTGTTCCCAGAGGGAAGTCTCTCTGATATTTCTTGCCTTTAATAATATAATGTACTTCTGGGGTTCCCCCAATAAGTATGTATATCTCGTGCAGCCATAATTTCAATGTATCTCTGAAATGAAGCAAGCTTAGACTTGGTAGCTGCTTTGATCACTCTCCAAAGAAAACTCTGACAGAGCTGGCAGCCAAGTCTGGTGAAACAGTGGGTATCACTCTTCCCACTGCCTGAACTTCTGATGCAGTTGCTCGATGCAGTGCTAGGGAATATGGTCCTGATAAAGGCGGCTTTCACTGTGTAGCACTTGAAGCCAAAATCCTGCCCACTTGAGCCAGTGTAGATTTTGGGATACTTCCCCTAAGAATTGAAGTACTGCTCTTGCCAAATGGCAATCTGCATACTTCACTTTCCAAAATGTTATGAAGCTGTGATACATAGACAGTGTGTGTTCTGCACACTGGTTTTTTTATGGTTTTGCTATGCACCAAATAATTTCTGTGTTCCCCGTGCTTCTACCCAGACATGGCAGTCAGTCTTTCAGTGATGTTAAGTAATGTATTATTATCACTCCTTCTCTTTCTTTTTGGTAGGGAGAAGGCAGAAGAGAACTTGCTAATCCGTGAGACACAGATAAGAAATGGTAAAGAGGGTTTGTGGGGTCAGGGTTGATATGATCAGCTAACACAGCTCTTAAATTATCAAAGCCTGGAGAGATGTGTTTCTCAGGAAAGGGAGAGTCTTTCCTAACTAGTTTAGAAAGAGGGGTTAGCATTACAGACTGCTTTGCAGCTGGGAGCTGGGGTACCTACATGCTTCCTATCTTATCATGGATTAGTTTGGGATGAAGAAATACAATGTACTGGGTTACACTAGGTCTTAGGGGCCCTCCTACTCACTAGAGTTGATAGAAATGAATGGTCCCTGCTTCTCAGGGGATGAGGTGAATATAAGTCCCCGTTTGAAGCTTTTTTTTTTTTTTTTTTTTCCTTTTGTACCAAACATCCTGGGAAGGGAGAGTAGGATTAGTGATGCCAAGACAGAGAAGAGGCTTTCAGTTCTCCTCACTTCTCTCTCTTGGTGGCTGTTGGGTGGCTAGACTCGATCCTCCATGGATGATGACTTGGGGATACCCACCTAAGGGTTAATGAGGCAAGCAGAAAAACAGAGTTGGCAACATAATGTGAAACTGAGTCTGAGGGGGCTGGGACTCATTTGTCATACATGAGAATCCCTTGGCTTCCACATAACTCATGGGCTCAGCCTGCCCATTCCTCCACAATAAAAGGCAACTGGGGCATTGTCTTTCCTGTGCCTCCTTCTCTTCTTCCTTTGTGATCAGATTTCCTGGCTGCTGCTCCAGAGTTTGGAGGCAAAGCTTGAAGCTACACATGTGAGACAGTGGGTTTTATCAGATCATTGTTTTCTAGTAAATTGTGTCACCTCAGCTGTGGAGTAATCTTCTGGTGGCACAAAGCAGTGCGTTACTCCTGGCTGCTTTTGAAACGAGTCAGCCATAAAGCAGCTGCAAGGGAAGGGAAAAAGAAGGGGCAGATTCCAGGGGCAGGTAAGCTCTCCACCACAGAGTTAGCTCCCATAGCTTGCAGTGTTACAGCCCCAGCTGTCTGCTGCCTCCTTCTACCCAAGAAGAGCGGTCAGGATGACATAAATAAACATGTGGCTGGTCCTTCACCATCCCAGTTAACAGTCCAGTACCTTAAGTTGAACTGAAACTAATGGTGGGCTCAGCTAATACGCTAGCCCGTGACCTGAGGCCTAGCACATGCTTGCTGTGCGTCACTACTGCTGCGTGGAGGTTTCTGACAGAGGACAGGTGCCTGGAGGAGGGTGGAAAGGTCTTGCTGGGCTCATGTGGTGGCTTGTGTGGCAGAGCCACCAGCAGCTCAGGCCCACAAAGTGCCCAGGGTTGGGCTGAGAGAGAAGGCCCTGCGGGATAAGGGGATGTTCTTTGTCTTTTACATAATAAATTTGTTTGAAAATGCAGTGAGAAGCTGCATGGCATCTACCAGGGGGGTGGGGATCATTTCTTTCTTTCTGGTGCCAGTGGCTAGCATGCTTTTACTTGAAGGAGCTGGGAACCCCTGAGCCTGAAAGGATCTGAACCAGCATCTTCCCGCTCCGCAGCAGTGGGCCATAACCCTTTTGCTTAGAGCCTGTCTTGGGGCAAAAGCCTGCAAGCTGCAACTGAGGAGGCTTCTCTGCTCTGTGTAAACATTTGTGCAACAGGAGCCGCATTCCCCCTTTCCAGGTGGGTGTTCTAACCACCACGCTGGAGAGTCTGCCCTTCACAATGAATATTCAAATGTTTCACACAAAGCGGAACAGCTCCGAATGTCTTGATAGTTAGGACATGCTTCAGAGCAGTGGGAAATCTGCTTCAGATTTGACTCTGGATCAAGCAGGGATGGGATGTGAACTTTTGGAACTTCCCCCTCATCTGGCAGCCCGATGAACGCAGTGCTTCACTTCCTCTTCTTTGCTTTCAAGTGCCTGCAAACAAAATGTTTCATTTGGGTAGAATGGAAGGTTTTTATTCACCACAGTAAAGGTCTGCAGTGCTAAAAATTTGGCTTATTCCAAAATAACGTTTGTTTTCAATGTTTTTATTCTGCTGCCAGACTAGAATAATCAGACATTTGCATTACCTTACGTTCTGCCTTGGCTGACAGCCTTCGTTACAAGGAACAAATTAAAACCTTTTATCTGGTACCCTTTGATCATGCAAAGTGATGGAAAGCCGCAACTGGGATGGAGGGTTACTTTACTGTAGGCATGTCCCACTACCCATGTGTTGCAAAGTGCCTCCGTTACTGTTTTGCCTATGTAATTGCTCTGCATCTCCGGCAGTGTGACTAGGGGAAGGTGACAAAACTTCTCATCACTCAAGAAAGCTTTGGTCAGAGCAGTGCAGTTTCTCCTTTTCTGCACACTGACAAGGCTTTCCCTTGCTGGGCATGCTCTCCGTAACGTGACCACCAGCAGTAGCTTTTTTTTCCCTTTCCAAAGCCATGATGGTAGGAGAAGAGAAGGGACAGGGAAAAGTTGTTAGTCATAACTGTCATGGAGATAACATCCTTTCGTGTTGTTGAAGGGTCCCAAGGGCCAGGCCGTGGGACATGGTGGCTGCTGTGTCAGACGGAAGAGGAGTGGAGGCAGGTCACAGAAAGCTTCAGAGAGAGGACTTCCCTTAGAGAGCGGCAGCTCTACAAACTCTTGAGTGAAGACTTCCTGCCGGAGATCTGCAACATGATTGCGCAGAAGGTGAGGAGACATGACATCCTGTTTACCTCTCCCTGACCACTTCCAAGAGCATGGACGTTTGCTGATTGAAGGAGTCCTAAATCCAGGCAGCCGCCACCCCACCCTGCTGCAGCGTGCGAGCGCTGTGGAAACAGGGGCTGTTAGGCCTTGCGTGTTGAGGAGAAAGACTCCCTGTCATGGGGCAACAGGGCTTGAGTCAACACATGAGGGTCTGGTTCATGGTTGCCAGCAGGAAGGCTGAAGGGGTTCCTGTCTTCAGCTCTGTTCTTTTCCCTTTTCTGCTAGCAGGGAATCTCTGTCTGCTCTTGAACTGTTGCACTTTACAGCCTGGCTTTTCCATGCAAACTAGCACTGATTTCCTTTTAACTGCAGTTTCTCAGATGGTTCTACTGAAGGGAAGTAGAACTTGCTTCAGCTGTCCTAGCTAAGCCTGATAGTAAGGAAGATATTGCCTATCAAATGGATATTTTAAAGGAGGACAGATTTGGAACGGGATCCTCCTGATAGATGGCTTGGTACAATGAACGGGCTCTGCAGGCAGCGTGATGTTCTTGGATCCAGTTCAGTTTGTTTGTTTGCTACCCTTGTAAAGCTATTAGGGATTTCATGGTCACTTCTAGCCCCCAGACTTTCTCCCACCAGTATCACCACTGTGCCCTAATTTCCTCCACTCTCTTTTTCCTTCCCTCAACTCTCAACCGTGTTTCAGGAGAAGCGTCTGCAGCGGACAGAGTTTTCTCCCAGGTGGATGTCTGACCATCAGCCCATCAAACCAATCCAGCAGGAGGTGAGGGGGGGTGTGAGGGGGAGGACAGCGGAGGCAGGCGAGAGCAGATGCCTCCTGGGGGAAAAAATAAACCACAGCATCGCTATTCAGCGAGAAGGAGCCGTTTGAAAGTGCTTGTGCTGAAAGAGAGATGGGTGGTAATGCCCATCAAACCCAGGCTGACACTCCGGGTTTCTATGGCGAGCAGGGAGGTGCTGCCCTCTGGATCGCAGAGGTAACGGGCCTTGCCGCAAGCCCTGCTGCAGCTGCATATGGAAATCTGTGCTCAGCCTGGGGAATTCCACTTCAATGAAAGTGCTGGCACATTTGAGGCAGTTCAAAGAAAAGTTGAAGAAGGATGAGAGGGCCAGAAGAACTGGCTTACAAAGGGAAATGACAGAAATTCAGCCAAGGGGAAAACGTGAGGCTGCAAACACATGAGGGTGCAGATAGTGTGCAGAGAGAGGGAGAGGGAAGAATGACTTGATGCAGCACAGAGGCGAGTGAGGAGGGGATCAGATGGGATTGGAAGGCACAGTTCAGGCTACCTAAAGAAACGCTACAAAACGACGCTGCCGCCAGCTGAAACGGCTCCTTCCCTGCCTCCTCACCCTCACTTCCTCTCTGCCCATCAGCACTGTTGCTGGCGGCTCTGTGCACTGAACCAGACCCAGGAAAATGACTGGAGTTAAATATAACTTTTTCCCTTTGGTAGGGGTTATTTTTAACCCAGGTCAGTCTTCCTGTCCGGTTCACCACACAGGCCCCGGCGGTCACTCTGGCACAGCCAGGGGCAGAGTGCAGCGGAGCTGGGAGGGTCTTTGAACTGGCAACCACTGCCAAAAGAAGTTGGTCAGACAACACAGGATTAGCTTTGGAGGAAAGGGAAAAAAAAAAAAAAAACCAGCCATGGCATAGTCGCTCGCTGTAGGTGTAATGAAAACATAGTTAACTGGTGCTTTGTCCCAGAATGCTGCCAAACCCTGGAAAATTAAACTGCAGGGAATATCTCACGTGAGCCAGGGTCAGCGGTTCCTGCAAAACAAAGGAGAAAGTGGAGTTCCCCGTGATAAATACAATTCCTTAGAACAGGTAAAGAAAAGGAAGGAAGAGCCTCTCATCATGCTGCCGATGAAAGGCTGCCGAAAGGAAAACAGGACCGCGGGGCCGGAGGGTTTGCTCTCCGCAAAGGCCACCGTCCCGGAGGTGAGGGCACACGTGCTGGCGGGCAGGCGGCCCGCGTCCCCGCGGAGGCGGCCGGCGGGAAGCGCATGGAGCCTGCGCGCTGCTAATCAGCAGCGCAGGTGCTGCGGGGCCGCGCGCTGCTAATTGCAGCCCGCGGGCCGGCGCGGCGCTCCCGGGGGGCCCGCGGGGCCGGGTGCCGGTGGCCCAGCAGGATGCGGCAGCCAGAGTGCCACGGGGGAGCCGGGGAAGGTGCCAGCATGTCTGAGGGGCTGTGTGCTGAGCGAGCAGCCGCGAGCTGCAGCCAGAGGGGGAGAGCAGGGCCTCAGTCTGGAGCAGGAGTGACCCCTTCCTGCCGGCTGCACGCATCGGATGCTGCCCCAGTCCAGGATATAACTGCTCCGGAGGCTTCTAATGCTGTGGGGGATTTCTCAACAGGTGGTTCAGATTAGCTCCTCATTAAAGAGCCGCCTGAGCAGCACCCTCATTAGGGCAATGCTGCGGAAACTGAAGTGGGGAAGGTTTGGTGGACAGGGAGTTGGAGGATGTGGCTGGTAGAGCTGGAGCACCCGGCCTCTACTGCAGCTCCCAATGTTGGATACCCGGTGTCTGAAGAGCAAAGGAAAAGGAGAAATTTGGCTCTTTGGGGGCCTGGGGGCAGGCAGCGATGTGGTGTCCTGGAGTGCTCCCTGGCGGAGGGAAGGAGGCGGTGATGGAGCGCGTGCCAGGGGGTGGTTTTGTGCTGCCACGGAGAAGCTGCAGGATGGTCCCTTTGCCAGCTCTTGACTTGGGAAGGAAGTTTTACTTGTGTTGCCTTTTTCCTTTTGTCATTCTAGTGGATCTCTGCTTCTACCACATCTAGTAGGAGGTTTTTTTAGTAGCTCTTGAGATGAAAGCCAATGGAGAGCAGCCCATATGGGCTTCGGGGGGGACACTGAGCACTAGGTCCCTCTGCCAATCAGGCCATTTGTGTATCTCAAGAGTCTTGAAGAGTCATCTGAGCACTGCCACCAGCCCTGCAAGCGTTGCAGGGAGCAAATGCAGTTATGTCGTGGGCATGTCCCGAGTTTGTGGTTTCTGTCTTCTTTTTTTTTGCTAGATGTGCTGTGAAGACTGTCCCTTTTGATTTAAAACTATCTCGTTCTGTCACTGCTGTATTTGTGGTGAGTCAATGCAAGACATGCTCTGGGTTCTCTATTATGCCCTTCCTGCATAGGGTGCTCAATGCACCCGGCACGCTTGGAGGGGTCCTGGAGTGAGCACTGCCACTTGGGTGTTGTGTTCATGTCCTGGCAGGATGGGAATGGTGGGAGCTGTATGAATCCAAGAAAACAAGTTTGCTGGTGTACCAACACTTGCAGAGAATAGTGTGATGCTAAGGCTGGCTTAGATCTATTGCCTGCAGAGTTGAAAGGCTGATGGTCACATCATAAATAAAGTCTGTGACATCCCAACTTCTGGTGCCTGGTTCCTGCTTACCTTTTCCTCTTCCCACTTGCTGCAGAATTTGACTTGTTGTTGTTGTTTCCTAATGTAATTTAGAGGTTGGACAATAAAGTTGAGGGAAACTGCCTGATGGTCTGGGTCAGACTAGAAAGGATGAGGTTTGGAATACCTGAGTGGAAAGTAGGATGGATGGTAGAGCCAAAAGAGAAAAGGATGTTGAAGGGATTTTGTTTTGAAAACAAAAATGTAGAATCCACTTCTGTAAAGTCCTGATCCTTTGTACTTGGCATTCTAGTTTTCAGTCCTAGGCATCCTGGTATTTGGCTATTGATCAGTTGGAAGCAAGATCTGAGAAAGGCAACTGGAATGATTAGGGAGCTGGAAGGATTGCTTTGTAAGGAAACATTTAACCTAATTGCACAAACACAGGAGTTTTGTTTAAGCGTCTGAGGAAGCCCGTAAATGCTGGAATGTGACTGAAGAAGAAGAGAATTTATGGTGGCCCTGAAGAGCGTAACTAGGAATAATTGGATGGAATGAGGGGAAGAAAATTAACTTGAGACTGAATGTGAGGACAAGCCGGCTAGCCTAGAGGAGTGTGGACTCGCAGGACAGCTTACCCAGGGAAGCAGTGGAAGAGTGAAGTGCTAATAGTTGGCAAAGGTTTAAAAAGGAGGAGATCATGCTGTGGGTTTTGCCTAGAAAGGTGAATGCAAAATAGATGTTCTTGCAGCCCTGTCTGTCCCTATGTGTGGGTTGTGGTTGTTATGTTGTAAATAATCCCATGGTCCTCTCTTGGGCTCTTCTCTGTACCTGTTGGTGGTTGAAGAGTAATTTTTCTGACATTATTGCTGTGGTGGGCAGGGAAATAGCACATGGTGCTTGTCCTTGGAGAGCTGCAGTAAGATCTAGCTGGGTGGTGTTGTGAGGGGAGAAGGGGAGGCAGAAAGAGAATGAATTACAGTAAAACCCAAAAACATTTCTGGGCATTTATCAAAACGCCCTGAGGTTCCACTCCTAGGCAATGAAACAGGGACAAAATAGTAATCATGGTGCCAGATTTTTCCTAGGGATTAATAATGGGCCTGGGGAGGTTGATGGTTTGAGCAGCAACCAAGGGACCCCAGCTGATTGCTAATCCTCAGGAAATGCCTTTTGCCTAAGTGGTGGTTGCTGGTTATTCCCTGAAAATGTAGATGGAGAAAACTATAGGCACATTGTTCTTTTCTGGTAGGTATTCCCTGCTGATAGGACACACATATACCTTGATTTTGCACAAGTCAGAGGTGGGAGTGGCTGGCAAATGCCTGCCTCTTTTGTCTTACAATTAAATTAATCTGATAAAGGTAATTCCACAAAACCATATGCAAACTGAGCAATTTATTGGAGAAATAGATGCAGGCGATTCCTGGTCTGGGAAGTCTGTGGTCTAAGTAGGATCAAAACCACACTTACAGCCTGCTGGCAGTAGGGAGGTAAGGAAATGTGGCAATAAAGGAGCAGACGTGCTGGAAGGAGAAAAATGGTCAGGTGTCCCAGCAGGAAGACTATTCAAACAATTAAGTAAGAGCCCGTTCAGGACAGATTAGTGCACAAAATTATGATAGGCCTTAGTTTGAATAAGAAAAGAAAACACTGAAGGATACTTTGACTTCAGGCAGTACCAGTCTCTTTTCCTCTCCCAAGTATTGTGTGTTTTATAGCAAAGATAGATTTGGTAGGGGAGTCCTTTCTGCTCACACTTGACAATGACTCAACTAGCTGGAAGGCATATAGGGGTTGTACAGCCCGGAGCCTTTGCCTGGAAGGCAAATCTCCATGTTACATTCCTGGCAGGATGACAGTTTGGCTAACTAATTTTTTTTTCCCCTCCTGGATCAATACTGTTTCACTGCATCACAAATAATTTTCCTCTACATGTTGCTTTTTCATCTGAGAACACATTTGTACAAGTCATTTCTTTTTTCCAGCCATTCATTTTACCTGCGTTTTGTTAACTTCCCAAAGTAAGCCTGCCTCTGCTCAGGCCTGATTAAGCCAGCGTGTTACAGTTCTCCGCGCACTTCTTTTGTTACAGGTGAGCCCGAACGTGCTGAGCTCGATGGAGAAGCAAAGGCGCAGGGAGGAGGAGGAGGAGCGCCAAATCCTCATAGCAGTGCAAAAGAGAGAGCAAGAGCAGCTGCTCAAGGAGGAGAGGAAGAGAGAGATGGAAGAGAAGGTCAAAGCAGTGGAAGGTATGCGAGCCAGTGTGAACCGGAGGTGGGAGTCCTAGAGCCAGGCCTAAGATCTTGAATGAAGATCTGTCATTTGTGTTCTCACTTACCAGATGTGCTAACGAGAATATCTTTTCTTGGACTTATCTCAGATAAATTGGCCTTGCTGCCCTGCGTGTAGTTTCTTTTTCCTTGTCCGTCTCCCTCAGTGTTGAGTGTGGCGTGCACTTCAGCTGTGCCTTCTTCCTCATATCATCCCTGTTTTCTCCCTTTCCACAGCTTTATCTTTCTCCTGCCATTCATGTCACCATATTGATGTTGTTCCTCAGCTCTCGTACCTCCCCTCTCCCCATTTGGGTCCTCGTGGATTTTCCCATGTGCAGGTTTTGTTGGCCTTGCTCATGCTGCATAACGTTTGGTCCTTTTGACCCAATACATGGTGAAAGGAGAACTTCTTTGGGGGGAAGAAGGGAAGGGAATGGTACACGAATAGCAAGAGCAGTATTTTCATGTTACTACCACCCTCATTGGATGGAGAACTAGACGTGAGGAGACTGAGCCAACTAGAGCACAGGAAAGTGAGAACTTCAGGGCTTAGGCCTGGTTTTGTTGTTTTTACATTGAACGCTAAGTTGTGCAAGCGTTGTGCAAGAAACTCTCCTGGTGTGTTGAATATGTCGTGTTGACTCATGGACACCAGGCACTCAGCCAGTACCTGTAGGGGCTGATATCAAAGAGAAGGCTTGTTCCTGACCACCTTCCCTCTGTCAGCCTCCTGTACAGGGATTCCTTTATGTGCTGCTTTGGCCACCATAACTGGTGGGTTGTTGCAGTTCCAGGAAAAGACTGAACATCTTCAGAAGCCCGTCCTGGTAACGCACGAGGGTATCAGTGTTGTGAACCTGTAAGTGGATAAGTAATCGGGGAAAAAAAATAGTTCATATAAACCCCATAAACTTTCCAAGACAAATCAGTTTGCCACCAGATGTTTGATAGCAGATGTGATCTAAGAATAGTTTATTTTACCTGCTTACCTTCCTAACCTTTAGAAAATCCAATTACTTGCCTGGCCTTCATGTATTTCTGGTTGCCAGTCCTGGCTAATCTGGTGCTTTAAACTCAGAATCTGGTGCAATAAACTCAGAAACTCAAAACCAGATCTGCCACAGATATCTGTTTCACTTAGCAAATTGCTTATTCCCTGCACTTAGTTCCTCATGTGTATAGACAAAATTAATTTCGAAGTTTCAGAAGAGCCTCAAAGGATAAATCCTATTATTCAGACTTGCTGAGGTGTTGCTTGCTCTCAGCCATGTCCTTTTCTGGGTGAGGACAGTCACTGCATCACTACACTGCAGTTGCTGCGTGCTCGCTTGCCAGAGCCACTCAAGCAACTGGCACTGGAGTATTTTGTTTTAAGCCAATTCAGCATACGTTACTGCTTTTCTTGGCAGGGATGCTTTTATTTTCGTTTGAACAGTTTATTTCAGTTTCAGCTAAACTTGTCTCCAGTCGATTTAGGCTAATCAGGAGAATTCTGCTTTTAACCTGGTGTAAAAGCTGTTTGGAAAGTTTATTTAAATGGCTGACTTGTTTTGTTAGATCAGTGTGGTAGTTTTCATCCCTCTAATCAGTAATTATGCAAGTTAAACTTTGACGACTTAACCATCTTGCTTTAATATAAAACATGCCATCCATTAGCAGTTGCTTTGATGGCAGTGGACAGCAAGTGATTTGAGTCATTTGTTAGGCTTGTTAAAACTGGACATCCACCAATAGAGGTTTTAGGGTTGCAAAGATTTTCTTGTGTTTCGTGGTCTGTTTGGGGTTTAGCATCACTTTTTTATGATACTCTGTAAGAGGGTAGATGTGAAACACAGGGTGAAATATTTGTGCTTTTCGGTAAGACTTCATCAGTGCTCACCTGCTCCTGAATTTTAGACTGTATGTCTGTTTTTAGGCCATGTTCCTCTTTTCAGTCTGGGATTTCACTTCCCCCCACTCCAGTGCATGCCCTGGGTAGTGAGACTGCTGCAGGGCCCATCTCTACTGCCTGAATTTATGCATTAAAGCAGCTTTCTCCATTTCTACCAGATTGGCAAGCTAGAGTTTTCCAGTTCTCTTTCCAGATGCTGTTATAATGTTACCACTCACACATACGACTTCCTTGCTATTTGTGGCCCTTTTTAGGGTATTGATTAGTTTCTGAAAGCTGGTGAGTAACCAACCTAGGCCACCATGAGAGTGAGCTCTGCCAATTGTGATCTTAACACGATATTTTAATTACTTGCAGTGGTAGAGAGACCTACTAGTAACCGCAGTGATTCTCGAGCCTGGTAATGTGGTAGCACTTCCCTGTCCATGTCAGCTTACCTTGCCAGGTCCTCAGCAGGCATTGATGGCTTTCTAAAATCTACCTCAGGGAGCTTTGTGGTTGTTTTCATGAGATGTGACTTTTGCCACCCAAATCCTTGTCGCAAGATTTTCTCAGCTTCTCACATAGCCATCTATAAAAGTGTCATCTAAACAGTGCTAATTCTACCAAAGAAGCATGCAGTGTGGATTTGTGCTTGCACTGGCTCTAATAAAACTGCAGATAGCAAAAATTATGTTGTACATCTCCTCACTAAATGTCCTAGTAGATGCTGACAAATACTGAGAGGCAGATGAGATGCGAGCCCTCTCCTCCCAACTTCAGTGCTACCCAGACTTCTGTAAAAGGGATTTTGTCCTTTCTTGTACCAGTCTTTGTCATATGCGGCCACGGACCACTCTAGAAATGGCCCCTCTGTAGCTATGCCTAGGTAGTGTCCCTCATCCTGTCAGGGCAAGCTTTAGGAGCAAGCAGTTATTGTGGAGTCAAACCAGGATTCGCAGTGGTGCTGCTGGTGGCCACGTCAATGTATTATTGCAACATAACTGTCTCCCTCCCAGAATACAGATCAGTTTGCTTTGTGCCTGGTCCCAAGGTGTGGCCATCAACTCCTCTGCAAGGAAGGAGTGTCTGCATGTTTTTAGTATCTACGAAAGAAGCTTGGAAGACTTTAGAAGCAGAAGGCTTATGTGAGCGGTAGCCTTCATGTAGGAGTAAGGACTGTAAAAGCATGCAGATGGGGACATTTTGGAAGTGCCCATTCCCAGATTTCTTGCCCTTCTCCACTCAACCCCCAAGCCACTTACTTTTGACTAGCAGAGAGAGCAAGTTAATAATCTCCTACTAGCACTGGAGCCTCTTGAATCTCTGGCATTTTTCTGAGGTGTAGCCTCAGTTAAAGGGTAACAGCCGAGTCTCCCTCATCTTTCTTTCCTTCTGGGTGTTCCCCTGCTGGGATCTGTTTTCTGTGCTGTAACTCTTACGACATCTGTCCTCCTGAGCTGTATTTCCACCGACTTCAACAGAAAGTTGGTACAACTGCAGGTGTTTAGCGATTCAAATGAATTCTGATTTCCTCTAAGAAGGAGGAAATGAAGTTCATAAGAGCCCATAAACTTTCTATTTTGAAGCAATCTGTTAGCCAGCTGCCTGGTCGCAAGCTACAGGTTCTGTTACTAGCGTTGCTTCTTCCTGTCTCTCTCCTCTTAAACCAGAGCTGTCCCAGTGGCCCTCTTGGGTGGCAACTTGCCTCCCTCTGGCCGCTGGCCTAGAAGGCCTACCTGAGCAAATCTTCCAAAACTGGGGCTAATGAGAGCAGATGTTAATGACCCCTGTTATTCATTGTCACCAAGCTGGTGGAAGTACTTCACCCTTCCCTCCATCCCACTCCTCATCCGCTTCAGCACGGAGGCAGCTGCCTTGGGTTCACCTGGCTGACGAGTGCGTATGCCCTATAGCTGCACAGCAAGCAGCTGAAGGGTGGTCGTGTAACAAGACAGCTGTTTCCATAGTGCTGCTCTGTGCCTTGAATGTCCCTCTTTGTGCCACACCATGGGCAGGAATCTCTCTGGAAGCTGGCTACGAGCAGCTGTATCGCAGTAATGCACCAACATTGCTGGTGGTAGGGTCAAGAGAGAGTAAAGAGACGTGTTTATTGTCCACTCTACACTAAGCTGCTGTTTCTTTGCTGGAAAAATAAGAACATTTCAGTGGTATTCTTGAGAATTACAGGAGCTAAGTTAGTTTTCCCTGCAGGATATTGCTGACAAGGATTGTTGAACCATTTTCTCACCTGTCTTCCCCACTGCAGAACGGGCCAGGAGGAGGAAGCTTCGTGAAGAGCGGGCCTGGCTGCTGGCACAGGGCAAAGAGCTTCCCCCAGAGCTTTCCCACTTAGATCCCAGTTCTCCTACCAGGGAGGAGCGAAGGACCAAGGACCTGTGAGTATGCAGCTGGATAAACAGCACAGCTGTGTGCTGAAGCCTGGGCAGTGGGTAGGGGCAGACAGGAGTATGGTCACTCACGAGAATGAGCTAAAAGAAAGGTTGGAAAGCACAGAGGAGAGGCTGAGAAATGTCAGGGTTTGATGCACACTAGAGGAGCCTTTGTGGTAAGGCCGGTCTGTGCTCTGTATGGGGTGGAAGGGAAGATGAGGTAAGAGGGATATGTCTTATATGTCCTAAGTTGGTATCTTTAATATTGCACTTCTCATTACAGCTTTGAACTGGATGATGAGTTCACAGCCATGTATAAAGGTCAGTTTTTCTAGCCCAGCTTTCTGCTTTGCATGAGTCTTCAAGAGCACGATAATCCCCTGGGCATCAATGTGTAATGGTTTGCCTTTCTCTTGGTACTGCCAGTTCTAGATGTGGTAAAGGCTCACAAGGACTCCTGGCCTTTCTTGGAACCTGTCGATGAATCATATGCTCCAAACTACTACCAGATCATTAAGGTAGGGCTCGTGCAGCCAACTTGGCTGATGTTCTTTGACTGGGGTGCAGCTATTTGGGTAGTGTTTTGATGTTTTGGGAAGTATGTTACCCTCACAGTCAACATGCACAACTCCAGAAGTCCATTCTGGCCTTACAAATGTAGTAAATGCAAGGCAAGAGACTGCATCTCTTGGATGGTGAGCAAAAGCTGCTCTCATCTCTATGAGAAAACTAGTAATATATGCAATTTTGTGAGCTCATCTGCTTTTGCTGTAACTGAAAAGAGCTTTTATTGTGTTTCAGGCCCCTATGGACATCTCCAGCATGGAGAAGAAGTTGAATGGAGGCCAGTACTGCACCAAGGAGGAATTTGTGGGTGATATGAAGACCATGTTCAGGAACTGTCTAAAATACAATGGTGAAGGCAGCGGTAAGACTGCTAAGTTAAGTTTATCTGTTTGCAGCAGTGACTCAACACAAGCATTGATCTTTCAGGATGTTTGTGATGGGAAGAGAGATTAGGGGCTCTTCAGTTAAGAAGACCTGGGGATTCAGCCAGGTTTCTAGTACAGTTGTGCTGAATTTGGGTCTGGCATGTTAAGGTGGTAGGTGGAGAAAGCCAGAAGGTGCAAAGAGAGGGAAGTCTGTTTATTTGTGAGCTCTTTCCTTTATGTGTCTTCGTGTGTCTTGTGTGCTCCTTTGTCTCAATAATATGTTAGTAATGCAGACTTCATGGAGCATAGGAGCATGATTAGCCCCCCATTTTTGTTGAATACCACACACACAAAAAAAAAGTGAGGAATACACCAGGCATGTAGCCATTTGGATGGAAAATGTGGGGTTTGGATTCCTTGGCTATTGGATGAACAGCATGAGCCTGCTAATGGGAAACCCTGCTTTAATTGCTCTGCCAATTAAAATTCTGTGTATTGCTTAGGTAAGAAATCAATCCCCAGATGGTGGGTCATCATTGCAGGCTGTGTCTCACCAGCACCACCCTGAAAAGGAAGGTGGTTTGAGCTACACAGCTTGTCAGAGTGGGCCCCAAGCAAAAGCATTCCAGTGCTGCCACAAGGAGAGCTCTTTGCTCTCGCTCTCTCTCTTTTTCTTTTTTCTTTATTTTTTACTTTTTTTTTGCTGAGACTCTTCTGGGATAGTTCAGTGGAAACAACTCTGAAGTCATTTGTTTCAAGGCCTTGTCATTAACACATCACACATGTCTTTTCCTTCCTATCCACTTCAGTGAAAAGCGTGAGCCTCTCTGAGCAGAACTGTCCGGTGGAAATGACACATTGGGGACAGTAGCATTTGTACTAGCTTTTGTGTCAGGGTCAGCTAGTGCTTTAGAAGCTGCACACAGAGAAATCTCTCTGATTTTTCCATTTTGTAGCATACGATGGAGATCTGAACCAGCCCAAGAAAAGCCCCTGACTATAATCAAATAGCATTGCTGGAAATTCACATTTCTTCTCTCAGCTCTCTGGCTGGCTAACTGTGCAGGTCATGCATCTCTGCAAACAGAGGCAGTGTTTATCATAGTGTAAATCTTGGCACAGCTCTGGAACAATAGGTTAATGCTGACTGTGCAAATCAGGCCACTAATGCTATTTTGTCATGCCTAAGTGCCTCTCCTCCACTGAGGTTACTGAACAGATCTGGTGCTGAGTGTTGCTTATTGACTTTGAGAACATGAACCAAAGTGGGTTGAAGTCTTTCTCAGATAAAAACATATTCTGCTCCTACAAATTTTGCTGAATGAGGACCATTAGAGATGAGGAAAGTCTGACGTTGTGTAATGGCTTCTCTATGTAAGATGCTGTCTCTGATGTTGCTGTTTGGGTTTTTTTGACTATAGAATATACCAAAATGGCCTACAACTTGGAGAGATGTTTCCACCGAGCAATGATGAAGCACTTCCCTGGGGAAGATGGAGACACCGATGAGGAATTCTGGATCAGAGAGGATGGGAGGCGGGAGAAGAGGAGCCGCAGGACTGGCCGCTCCAGTGCCGGCAGCGTTTGGACTCGCTCGCGCGATCCCGAGGGACCAGGCAAGCGGCAGCAACGCCTGGAAAACGGAGGGAAACCCCCGCCGTATCGAGCTACTTCCAGGGCTCCTGCTTCCTCCTCCTCTTCCTCCTCGTCCTTCTCCTCGTCCTCTGCAGAGGATCCCAGTGGCAACACAATGCAGCATCCTCGGGAAGTGGGCCCTTCGAATGGACGAGGTTTCCCTCGCCCGCTGCAGTACGGCGGCATGCCCAGCCCCGTGCCGCATCCCGGGCAGATGGTAAGGAGTGGTGCCTGTTGTTCTGCATCCATCTGGCAAAGAGAGGGAAAATAAAGCTCTCTCCTCTAGATTCCCCCACTGTGTGACAAGAGTCCTTCCTCAGGGATTGAGAGTCAAAACTAATTTTTAGAAGTTAAGCTTTTCAGCCCCTAGATTTGCACTGATTCACCTCAGTCTTCCCAGGTCTTCAAGTAGCTTTATGGTGAAAAGAGGATTGGGAATAATACACTCCATCTTAAGGGTAGTGGGAGGCAGTTCTAAAACCATGCCTCGTTAGTTGAGACTAGTCTTCTGACTTCTTGCTTAGCCAGCGTGCGCCCATGTGTGCATGGGCCAGCACTGTCCCCCACCTTTTTCCTCTCCTTGGCAAGTTACCCTGTTATGCCTATAAAGCAGTCCCATCCCCTCCTTTAGCCTCCGTTTTATGATGCTGAACAAGCCAGTTGTCTTTTGTCTCGATTGTTTACGGCTGCCTGGTAACTTTGTGCCATCTGTGTGCTACTGCACTTCGTGCTTTGAGTATTTATAAAAGCAGTAAACAAAACTAAACACAAGGCCACCCTGGACAGCCGTAGTGACCTCTGTTGAGCCTGACATTTCTTCTGAGTGCCACCTGTTCCGCCTGCCTTACGGGCTGCTCCTCACCCATCCTTTACAGACTTTTCCATTTATCCAGTGACGTCTGGTGTCAGTGATGTGTGGCCTGCGGTATCAGCTGCTCCTCAGAGATCCGATCGACTCCCTTTTTGAAGGTGGAAGTCGAGCAAAATTATTAGAGCGACCCTTGTGATGCAAATAGTGGTAGCCAGCATGAGAGGTGGAGCCTAGAAGTATTTTGCAAGACATCCAGCATGTTCCCCCTTCGCTGTGCTCACTTTCTGATGAATCCATACCCCTGAGATCTGCCCCTCTCCTTGGAGCAAGCTACTGCCCTCTCCAATCTTCTTGCTTGTTTCCAACTAGTTAGGTGAGAGGTGGATGTACAGAGGCCTGAGCATAGAGACACGTGGCTGGGATGTGAATGAGGGTGACTCTTCAGTAGGGAGCTGTGTTGTCTCGTAGGGATGTCCCCAGGTTTATCATGGTATCTCCAAAATGCCTCTTTGCTTTTCTGTGACATTCCTTCAGTCCTAGTTTGTCCTTATGTATAACTGCTGCTCCTTTGCTTTGCTGCATCTCAAGAGTGGTTTCATTTCTTTTCCTCACGCCTCTCCCAGAGACCAGCTGTGCCAGGGACTTTTGGCCCTCTGCGTGGATCAGATCCCACTAAGTTGTATGGCTCACCACGAGTCCCAGAACCCCATCCTGGAGATCCGGTTCAGCAGCACCAGCACTTTGCCATGCAGGTAAAAACCTTTCAGAAATTCTGCGGTCCGTTTTCATAAGAGGCCACACTGGTGGCTTCACTCCTCCTAGGAATGTGCAGTTGGCACCACGAGTCCTTTCCTGTTTCTTGTTGTGGCTCTCACTGAAACCCACCCTTTCTCTCTACCTTGCAGCCGGCCGTGGGGCTGAGCGAGCACCGAGGGCATAGGCTGGCCACCCCCGAGAAGCAGGGGTGTGCAGGACCCACACACGTCGCTGGCCTGGGCCCCCGGCCCGCAGCCCTGCAGCTGGGGCGGATGAGCGGCCCCCCTCCCGACACTGTGTACCCGCCGGCGCAATTCCAGCAGGGATTTCTTCCTCCGAGACACAACGGGCCTCCCTTGCGGCCGCCGGAGAGCTCGGACGTCCCCCCAGGCCATATGTACAGGCCCTACAAGTACCTGAACCGTGCGCACCCGGCGCTGTGGAACGGCAGCCACGGTGCTGCCACCCAGGGCACCCTGGCGCCTGAGGAGAAACCCGCCCTGGGACCCGGGCCTTCTCTCCAGCCTCGCGCCCTGGGCCACATGATGGACCCCCGGGCCATAAGGCCCCCTCTGCCTCCCAGCCAGTGGACTGAGCAATCGAATTTCCTACCTCATGGAGTTCCTCCCTCAGGATATATCAGACCGCCCGGAAAAGCCGCCGGCCAGCGGATGCCGCAGCCACCAGCCTCCCTGTTTGGGGGGCCGCCTCAGGTTCAGAGAGGGTGCCCGGGTGGGGACTCCATGCTGGACAGCCCGGAGATGATCGCGATGCAGCAGCTGTCGTCGCGCGTGTGCCCGCCGGGTGTGCCTTACCAGCCCCGCCAGCCGCCGCCGCCGCACCTGCCCGGCCCCTTCCCGCAGCTGCCGCACGCCGCCGCCGCCGGCACGCAGCCGCCGAAGGCCGCCCTGGGCAACGGCAGCTCGCAGGAGCAGCCCGGGCAGGCCCTGGAGCCGCAGAGCAGCCAAGGTAACCCCCGGCACGGCCAGCCCCTCGGCCGGCGCAGGCAGCCCCTGCCTGCGTGTAGCCTGTGTGTGTTACCCGCCTCGCCGCTGCCTGCCCCGCACCTCTGCTCCTCGCCCCGCTACGCAGCACCGTGCTTTGATTCCCCCTTTGCCCACGGATCCTCTCTTGCTGGAGAGGGACGTTGGCTGAAGGCCGTCAAGAGGTTTTTCCTCTTGTCCGTGCTGCTGCCGGGACTCGTTCAGGAGCTGAAGAGCAGCTGCCTGGATCCTTGTGCTGCTCGGCGCACGTTCACTGTGTGTGAACGTGCAGTAGGGCTCCACAAGGAGCCACGCATGCACCTCGGGGAGCAAGGAGCTGCACTGTCAGGCTGCGGGTTGTGCCCAGTGTGTTTTGGGCTGCAGAGGAGGAGGAAGCACCTCCAGACCAGCTTTCTTGGGGAATACGTGCCTGCTGTTGCCCTCTAAACTCTGAGGGCCCCAAATTTAAGTGTTGTAGATGCACAAAAGCGCTCTCTGCCAACATGATTTTATTTGGACTTGCACTTTTCCAAGGCTTTTTTGTTTGTCTGCCAGGGCACCAGCAGTAGCCTGCCAAAGGTCTCCTCTCTGTGTTATACCTGGCAGTTTTCAGTCTGCCACTGGGGGCAAATGCAGAGCACAGTCTGTAATGCTTCTAGGGATCAGTTGGCATTAATATAAAAATTGAATCTGCAAAGAGTTAGGTAGGATTTTGGTATATGTCAGTATGGCATCCCCTTGAAATGCACGTGGGCCTCATGAGCGTAACGTCTCAAAATCCTCAAGAGAGAAGTGTCAGAACCATGCAACAGCCCTGTCAGTTTTGATGCTATGGCAGTGTGTCGTGTGTGCCACCACAAGTTTCCTTCCAGTTGAATTTCATTCATTTCTAGCTGGTAAACTAGAGATCAAAAAAACCTTAAAAATAAAACAAACCTAGAGTAAAGATCAAAAAAACCCCAAAGATCAAAAAAAAAGATTTTTTTTTTTCATTAATTTTAACTGGTAAACTAGAGATCAAAAACGTCGTATCTTTTATCGATCCCTTGTGTGCCTTGCACTAAGAGGAAACTCTTTCCTTGTGTGGCATTGCTTAAAGCTCATTATCATATAACTGTGCTAGATATAGAACAGAGGCAGAGGGAGGACTTTGAGTGGTTACAGGGCACAGCAGCTGCATCTCCAAATCACATTTGGTTGAAAGATGGCAGTTGGTGGCTCTGCAGGATCTTGCTATGTGCTAGTGCTTCTGCCCAAGCTGGGGGCAGGCAGGGTTTGTAGACCAGAAAGGTCTACAGAGCCCGAAGTCAAGCTGTTGTTACCTCCACTCCTTAGCTTTTACATGGAGATTATGGTCTCTCCCTAATCCTCCTCTCCATTAGGCAGCCTCTGCACACCCGTGTGTGAAACCAAAGCCACCTGTGTGATGTTGGTCTGGTGGAGGTGCCATTAACTGGTGGTTTGCAAAGTCATTGTGGATCTGTATCGTAAGGCAATGCTGTGGATTCAGACCGTGGATTCAGAGCTGCCACCTTAGGAGAATTTTTAGCTATTGAAGGTTCCCTGACTTTGCAAGAATCCTTAAGGAACTCTGAAAGAAAAAAATTATGTCAGAAGCGGGAGGAGGCCATAATCCCGCAGAATCTGTCTAGCAGTTGTGTAGTGCCATGCCCTGACAGCCCCTGAGAGATGTTTGAGTAGAGGATGGTTTATCAGAGACCCTCTAGTATTTACATGGGCTTTAGGGAAAACAAAATGATTTTTTTTGAAAGTTATTCTTGTTCTCTTCCATTTTTACCCAGTTAAGAAAGGAGGATGCTTTCTCCATCCAAAATATTAGGGATTTGTCAGACGACGCTGCCTAAAAATTTTTTGTTGAGACTCAAGAGTGACAGAGGCTGCTGCTTGTCCCACCAAAAGCAGATGTTGTGAGGTTATTTTGGTATAGCTGGTTAAACTGACAGGCATTGCTCTTTGGCAAACTTGTTTTGGGTGAGCATGAGTAAGCACATGTGCATTGGGCACGGGGGGCTAATGTCCAAAATTAGACCCAAGAGCAACTTTTTCCCTTCTCTCTTTCCAGTAGAACCACCCACCAGTGTGGATGAGAAGTCTCAGTGCATCGGCATTCCCGACGGGGCCTACGCCAAACTCCTACCTCATCCCAAAGCCCCGCTGCCCATGGAGTGCACCCGGCGCACCTTGCCTCCGGATGGGGACGGAGACGGCTCCGGAGCGAAACACGACCTGAAGGCAATGCCCAACAAGAGCGCGTGGCCGGCCGAGAGCTCCTACGGCAGCCCAGGCGCCCAGGGCTGCGTGAGGGACCTCGTGCCCGCTGCTGAGAGAGGAGGGCCCGTGGCCGAGAACGGGGCTGTGGGCGACGGGCCCCCCTCGGGTGGCACGGAGGGCAAGGGGCTGGCAGCCAACCTCATGGAGAAGCCCCTGTGCGGCGCGGGGAAGGCGCTGCCTGACGCAGCCGTGCCCTGCATGGGGCAGAGCACCGGCCTCCCCGCCATGGATGCGGGCTCCATGGGGGCCGCCCCGAACCAGTTCCACCCTCTCTACATGCCCAGCTTGGAATACCCAAATTCAGCCGCCCGTTACCACATCAACCCGGGCCTGCAGGGGTTCAGCCCTGTCATGGGTGGGAAGGCGCCGCCGGTGTCTCCCGCGCAGCATTTTCCACCGCGGGGCTTCCAGCCGAGCAACGCCCATCCCGGCGTCTTTCCCCGGTACCGGCCCCACCAGGGCATGCCCTACCCCTACCAGCCCCAGCCCCAGCCCTCCTACCACCACTACCAGCGACCTCCCTACTATGCCTGTCCACAAGGCTACTCGGACTGGCAGAGGCCTCTCCACGCGCAGGCCAGCCCCAGCGGGCACCCGCCTGCCCACCCGCCGCTGGCGAGACCCCCTTTCCCTGAGCGGGGCGGCTTGCAGGCCTGTGAGGCCCTGAGCGCTGCCCTGGCCTCGCCGAACCGCGTGGACGTAGTGAGTGCCAAAGAGGTTCCTCCGAGTGACGGGCAGGATCTGGCGCCTGAAGATGAGAAGACCGACGAATCGCAGGAAAGGCCGGAGAGTCCCAAAGAGTTCCTTGATTTGGACAACCACAATGCGGCCACGAAAAGGCAGAGCTCAGTGGCAGCAGGAGAGTTCCTCTATGGAGCTCCCCCGCCGCCCCTGGGTTCGGGCATGGGATTTGGCCCATCGGCTTTCCCTCCTCACGGGGTCATGCTACAGACTGGCTCTCCTTACGCATCCCGGCATCCCAGCAGTCATTTCCAGCCCCGGACGTATGGATCACCCATGAATGCTCACCTGTCTCATCACCCAGCCCCTGGCCAGGCCAACGGCCTCTCTCAGGAGGGACCCCTGTACCGCTGCCGAGAGGAGAACATAGGTCACTTCCAGGCCTTGCTGATGGAGCAGAGAGGCAGTGGAGGTGGCATGGGGGGGCCACCCCAGGACTTGTATAGATCGTCGGGGTAAGAGTGTGTTTTGGGCAAGAAGGTGAGGTGGGAGGGGTGGTGACAAGAAATGCTGGATATCCTTGGAAGGTCCGACTTGGGAGAAGCTGGCAAGTGCTGTTGAAATGCTAACGTGTTACTTGTAGGCCCATGTGGTAAGAGGACTCTGAAGAGAGTCTCACTGCAGCTTTTTCAAACAAGCAACATTAGCCAGTGTGGAGACCTGTTAGCCTGTCCAGTCCATCCCTGTACCACAGTTGTGTCTGACAGTATTTTCTTAATGTGTTGTCTAGTGTTGCACATTTAAGCACGTGGGCTCTTTCTGTTTTGCAAGAAATTCACTGTAATCTTTTTCAAAATGGAGCAGAGTAGGTAACACAAGTTGAAGTTAGCTTACTGAGATCAACTCTGATCACTTCAATGCTGCCTTCTTTTTCCCTTCCTCTTCCTTTGTTCTTGCTCTCTGTTTCAAACTTCCCTCAAAAAAATTAATCCTCTCGAAGCAAATTAATTCTCAGTGAGATTTTGCATGTTTTATTCCAAAGTGGAAAATTCTACTATACCAAAAAATCCATGTTCAGATTATATAAATATACTACCACTGTTTTGTTGTAGTTCCCCCATAACTTGAACAGTAAGCTGTTCCCCAGTAAGCTCAGTAAGTTCCCCAGATGTTCCCTTTTAAGGCAGATGTGGAGAAAAAGGAGATAAATGAATTTCCTTCTCCCAGTATTTGGGAGATGTGGCTTACAACTACGTTAACTTCTGGAAGAGATGGGAATGGATTTAAAAATCTTGGGGAAAAGCCAGAGAGAAGAGTATGCTCATGAAATGCATGCTTGTATACAAACCACTTGCATTTGGCCGAGCAGGTGAGATCTATTCTTGAAGTTTATGTGCTAAAATTCTTTCTCCATTCAACCTGGCTCCAGAATGCAAATGCATCAGGCTCAAGTTCCCTTCCCGAAGATGCCTACTACAGCCATGTCCCGGGAAGAGCTGACGCCGCAGAAACCATCAGCGTTGCCTCTGGATCAAGTAAGGGCCACCAAAAAGAGCAGGTTCCTTTCCCTTTCTATCATTTAAAGGAGTAAATTATTTTCTCTAAGAGTGAATAGCACTGGAGTAAGCTGGAAAGTCAAGTCACTGGTATGCAGAGGAATTGGAGGTATCTCTCTTGCCATAGCTGTCTATAAAGCATAGCCTGGGCTGACAAATATTGCAGTGTACTGCTATCTAGTTGTATGAAATCATGAGGCTATTTCTTCATAAAACTGCCCACTAAACTCCCCAACTCTTGTTCTTCCCCTTGCAGAGCTAGTCCAAGGAAGGAAGCCCCTCAAGAAGACAAAAGCCACATGTGATTTGGACAGGGGGGAGGATGGACAAACCTTCCTCCCACCCTCCCCTCACCGAGCAGCACGGAGCTTCCCGGGGCCGTGGAACGCGGCGCCGCAATCGCTTCTGCGTTGGGAAGCGGAACAGTGACAGAGCCCCGGCCAGCCAGGCGGCTGGCTCGCCACCACAGGGGACGCTTCCCAAGCTGGTGGCTCTCCATGCCTGGAGACTGCGTCTCGTTCAGGGTTTGAGGGAATTTTTTGGGGGTGGGAGGGTGGGGGTGGGGACTGGAACGTTCATTGACTGCTAAACTCAGGTATATTTTTCAGGGTGGAAGAGGACGATGATGGAATTTTACTTGTAGTATTAACGCGTGTGTTTTGGAGCTGGATCCAGTTTACAGAATTTAACCTGTTGCCTTTTTAAATAAATTTCTGTTGTTGGTGAATGTATTGTACATAATGGGGGAGGGGGTGGGCCCAGCTTGTAGTGGGCTTAGCACTGGAGGAATCCTTAACTGTTTACAATCATGTCACACTGAAATCTTTCAGGAGAGGGGTGAGCGGGGAGAGATGAGGGAATGTGTGATGACAACTTGTTTTCCTCCTCCCTGTCCTCTGCAACTGAGAACATAACCCAGTAGTTGTTTGACTGAGTAGCAGGAATTGCTCAGGAGCATAATGTGTCCTCCTCTTTCTCTTTCCTTTTCTCTTCCTTTCTCCTTCACCCCCACCTTTGCCCCCCAGATCCAGGGCCTGAGTGCACTTCCAGCTCCTGTCATCATGGGGGAACAAGGAAACCAGGACCAGGAACTGAAACCAGGACAGGACCCTCATGGCACTGTCCCTTCTGCTAGTGCAGTACCCTTCTCCCTACCTTTCTGATAGCAGTAATTTGTGCTCTAGACACCGGAAAATGGCGAAATGGGTCATGTTGGACTTCTTTACGTGAAACCAGGACAGCTACAGTATGGAGCAGCACCTGTCTGTATTAGAACAAGCATTGTGCAAATCCGTAATCCCTTGCTGCATTGGTAGCGGAGCAGAGTCCCCGTTTTTCTTTCACTGTCCCCTGCCTACATTTTGTTCTTAGCAGCAGCAGCAGAGCAGAAGGTACCCCCAGATACCCACACCACCTCTACTTGGCACGGGGAGCAGGAGCATGAAGCTGCTTGGTGGGAATGATTTGTTTGGTGCAGTGCAAGCCAGCTGTTGGCCTGTGGTGTTGGCCTTGGTGTTTGTGAGTTAAGGGTGAATCGGAAAGCATCACTTGGAGATCCCAGGGAGAGGTGCAGCGGCTCAGCAAGTGCAGCGAGGAGAGGGCTGTGTGCTTGAGCTGAGTGCACAAGGCTGTGGGTTTACTGACCAGGTCTGTTGTTATCGATGCTGTGGCAGCAGGTACTAGAGGGCTAGCAGCAGCTTCCCTTGCGGGCTGTCACCAGTGTGAAGGGACCTTCCTCGACAGCAGTACTGCAACTGGGGAGCCTGAACTCATGTTCTTGACCAGACTCTGGAGTACAAACATATCTCTGACCAGTGGGTTCTGTCAAAGTCTGCGCATATTTATGCACATCTTGAACCAAACACAGCCGAGTTTTCTTGGGGATAAAGTCAGGAGTAAAGCAGGGTGGAGCTGCTCCACTGTAAGACTAAGCAGCAAGATCTATCAGGACCATAGCCTGCATGTCAGCTGCAGGTTGGACTGGGGAGACAGTGCTGCAGGATGGATGTGCCAGCCCAACTGTGCTCACTTTAGCACAAGTATCAGCAGAGGTGAGGCCAGAGCAGCATCCCGTTCGCTCTGTGCTGCCAGCTAGAGGAGAGGCTTCATCTCCACGTTTCTGGAGAATTTGGGGGCTACTTTGTTGTGTTGACTGGTGCCTTCACCTGTACTAGCTGGATTGCTGGCGTGCTCTGCCACAAGGGCTTTGCCATGCTGCATACATGTATCGTGCATAGGCAAAGTGGAGCAAACTGTCCAGTCAGATGCAATTCACCATTACTCCTCCTGATCTAAAGTTCTGGAAACTCAAAAAACCTAAAAGATGAGGAACATCAGTTCAGTTCTCCTTACACCTTGTTGCAATCAGCCTGTAAGCTGTAGCTGCGCTCTGTTTAGTCCAGGGAGTGCCTGGTTTCACTGGTTCCTCCCCAAAGGAAGACTGCAATATAATGTGAGTTGTTTAAAATACATAGTTAGCGATGCCATTAAATTGCTAAAGGGAGTATTTTCAAAGTTTTTTTTTTTTTCATTTGTGTTTCTCAATCAGGGAGCAGCTGTCACTGGTGGATTGTGGCAGTCTAGAAAACATGATCTAGAAGATTGTCCCTGAGATGAGGCAGAGAACTGCTCTCCATCGCCAAGAGCAAGGCTGTGGGTCCTCTGCTTGCCCCTTGGCTGGCGAGGGGTTTTCACAAGTGCCCCAGTCGCCAGGAAATGCAAATGTGAATATAGGTTTTAGTGCCGTTCACTGAGTGGAGGTACTGAAACAAGTAATACGTATTTATTAAAAGCAGTGCAAAAATATTTGCTATTCATTATAATGAACCTCAGACAAAAAAGAAGACAATTACTTCCTTCTTAAAAGTACGTTTAAAATGGAGGAAATCTAAAATAAAACCTGTGGCAAAATATTTGAAATTCTGGAAACATTAATTAGATTCTGCACGCAACCCCTGTCACACTATAGCCTGTGTCTTCTGTATCACAGTTACCCAAATATTTGAAGTGCCTTTCAGCTTATTGTGAACTCTGTGGAACAGGAGATTTTACGAAAAAAAAAAAAAAGAAAAGAAAAAGAAAAAAAAAAAACCAAGCTGAAACATCTTCCTCTAATCTTCCTCTAGAACTGGCATTTGGTTCTAGTGGTCATGTTATCTGCATGAGTATGAAGCCCAGATCAAACCAGAGGAGCAATAAGAAAGGCAAGAATTGCTTGTGCTCTACCAAAAGAGTGGAGTGGAGTGTCAGATTGCGATAGATGTCCTGAGGATCCTGTATGGAATATGAAATGTGAAGGTATCTTTTATGCAACATAATGGAGATCTGGGGGAAAGTTTTGACTTGTAGATGGTAGACGAAATGCAGAGTAGTGACCTCTGCTCCGGGGAGGGTTTCTGAGTAGATGGCTTTTGTAATTGGTACTTCTCATTACGGTGACTAACAAGCTGCTACTGTGAGAATACATGGTTTGTATTAGAAAACTGCTAATAGAGTGTAGTAGGAACCATGACTGGGCTGTAGGGATAGGACTTGCTGGGATTAGAGCGCTGCATGTGGAATCTTAGCTCTTGAGTTTCCAGACTTTCAAATGCTTTGTTCATAAATGTTTAAATGCTTTCTTTTTTTTTTTTTTTTTTTTTTTGGGGATGTTGTTTCATTTTGGTTTTTATTATGACATCTAGGAATTCCCCTCAAATCAAGAGCTCCATCAGCCGAGGTACAATCTAAACAAATCACAAAAATTCCTGCCCCTCACAGTGAGGACTCCGAGTGGCTGGGAATGGGTTGCTAAGATGGAGTCCAACAGAAATGTACAGAGAGAAGCAGAAAACGTGAGTTTTACAGCTCACGGTTTTCCAACCCCTGCTATGCAGGACTGATTTGTAGATATCGTGACAGAGAGATTTAAGGAGACATTTAGAAGAGAAGAAGATGGCAGCTCTTTATGTACAGAGTGTTGCATTTCCCTTGGCTTGGTATACGTGCAGGCAAAACATAGCTGCATTTTAAAATATCCTGGCTTTTGGCTGTCAAGACTTATGTCACTATCTTAACTAATATTTTAACACAGTACAGAGAAATTCTGGACTCTGTGATTAGAAGCCCTCCCTTACATCCCCCAGCACTGCTGTAATATAGCATATAACCAGTTGGTCCTTCTTCAAAAACCGTATTGAACTAGTGACTTGGGAACATTTCTTGTAGCTGCTATTTTTTCCTATACAGAGGATGTGTTTTGCTATAATTATGGATTTCTTGTTGAACAGGACTATATAATATGTAGAACAAATAAGATTCTGCCCATGGTTGAGCAGCTAGAAGTTTCTCATGTTCTCAGAAAAGCTTTGTGTGCTACTCTAGCTTTTTAGCTGCCTGCTCTCCCTAGAGCCTCCTCCTTTGCAAGTCATGTATAGTGTGTTTTCAAGCTGCCTAGATGCTGGGCTGCCTTTATAAATGCCATTGTATTAACTTCCCATGGGACTCCGGTAGTTTTGGGTACCATAATCACTGTAGGGCCTGGCAGTTGCACCAAGTGTTTTCAGAAGACCAGTAACTGAGGCTTCACATTGATTTTTAGCTATGTCCAGCAGAAGTCTAGAGTTTATAAATTGCACAGTGTTAGCCACCAAACCACTCAGTAGCAATCCAAGGCACCAGTCTGCAATGAAGAGGACAAAAGAGGAAAGTAAATTTGAAGTTACATGGCCCAACTACTTGATTTGTGACTTTAAAGGATACGAAGACAGTTTTCTTGGAACAGCTTCTAATTCTTTCTGCCCTGCCAAATGCCTTTCCCAAGACTTTCCGAAGCGAATCTCTGGTGTGTATTTTTGTAAGTGTGGTTTCTCGGGGTCTTGGAGAACTATCAGCTTCTCTATGTCTTATCTGAAACCTAGTCACGGAGGTTGTCTCCCATCCTGCTGACTGAGGCAGTTTTCCCAGAGCTTCTGTCTGTTTCTGCATCCCAACAATTCTCCATTTAAAGTGAAAGCCTAATTAGATAACCTTCGCTTTCCTCCCCTGCTTATCTTCATCGATCTCGTGCACACCTCTGCGATCAGCCAGGGTTGTGGCTTGGTTGCCCTTCTGTTTGCCGAGGAGAGACCTCAGGGCGCTGACGGGGAGTTTCGGAGGAGACGCTCAACTAAGTGCCGAGCAACCTCCATCCCAAGGGGCAGCCTGGGGAAGACCAGCAGGAGAACCCACCGCGGTGCAGTTGCTGCCGCCTCCTCTCACTGCACAGCCACCACGCAGCTGGGTCTGTTCTTCACAAGAGCTACCCCACTATAGTTTTCACCGCGGGGCACGGGCGGGAGAGGAGGTGCTCCCGCAGGATTCCCGTGTGCCGTAAGCGAGGTGCCAGCGGCGGAGCCCTCGCGGCGAGGCCGAGCTCGAGGTGGGAGCTGTGGAAGGAGCGGTGCAG